GTACGAATTCGCACAGACTATCTGAGCTTAGTCAAACTGGATGGCACCACTGACTAGTTTGACCTTCAACAATAAGAAAAAATGGCTGTCTGATATTTTGGTCACGTCGATTTGGTTAGGTGGGGGTCATCAAGCACTATGGATTGATGCGAGTGGCGTGAAATTAGCCATTTCAGTCAATCGGTAGTCTATAGGTTGCTTTCAATTAGAAACAAACTTTGTCGGACAAATCCTGTGGAGCCAAATAAATAAAACAATTTAGTTTATCTAATACCCTGCCTCGGTGGTATAGCGGTTAGAACGCTCGCCGACCATGAATATGTTCCGGGGTTCGCCCCCGGCCGGCGCACTCCTTTACCTCACTGAGCCAGAAATACTGCTGGTAAAGAGGAAAGGTTGGGCATGAGGCTAGCAACCCCATCCTGTAAAAATTAAACACTGCTACAGAAACTTCAAGCCACTAGCTTGGAGCCCTATGTTCCACTGGGAACGTGAAGGAAAAATTATTATTATTATTATTATTTAATGCCCTGCCTCTAATGATTGTCAGGTCAAATACATAGGTCAAACTAGTAGAACAGGGGCAGTCAGACTAGCTGAAAATAAAAACCTAACAAAATCTAGATTAGTTGACCCAAATAAAATAAGAAATCTAAATAATGATTCAGCTGTACCACTTACTCACTGCATGCAATTACACACAACCATACAATAGCCTGAATGGGATAGGATGACAGTTTTAAAATCCAGTGTAATTGCAGGGCGGAGGAAGAGATTGATGACAGAAGCTTTGTCTATCGAATCAACTGCACATACGTGTAATAGGAATGATTCAACACCTGTTCACCCAGATATCTGGAAAATTCTACTACCCCAACGACGACAAATGGGAGAGAACAAAGAAAACTATGAAGACCAAGTTTCGAAGTCGTTTGATTACAATTGATATCATTATGAACAATAAATAAATTTTGTTCGAAGCTTTGTCATCCAGTAAATAATACTGTTTCACTATGTGGTACACCTAATAAACAAGCTAATATGGAATTGCTTGCTTTTTTGATTTCCATTTATATGGCATCAAACACATTGCATATTCAAGTATTGGTTTGTAGGGATTTGATTGATTAGTTATAGGATTTCATCATGAGCTAATATCGGTTAGAGAACCATTGGAAAGCCGACAGGGAGTATTGGACAGTTGGCTGTTTCGTCAGCCTAGTTTGGGACTCTTCATCAGTACGCACTCACCACAGCTGGGTTCGAACCCAGGATTTTCTGGTTACAAGGCAAGCTAGCTCGTCGACCATTAGGCTACTGGGACCTGACCTGATCCAATGGTTCGTGATCTGAATAATGTAAATATTCCCATAATGATGATTACATAATACGATTTAAGCAAGTCCGTATTTCGGTGGGTTCTCATAAGGCTTTACATTTGTATGGCAAAGTAAAAACTTTAAGCACCACTAGCTACCAGTCAGCCAGTGACCTTGAACGCACCAATCACGTGAATGAGACATTTTTGTGTATGGAATATACATATATATTTATGAAAAAAAAATCCATAAAAACTGGATAAAAGTGTTACAGGGGATACCTTTCCCTAACATGTGATAAAAATAGCTCTCACTTTTAGGTCGGAGCATCAACAGAGTATAACTCTATTGTGGGTAAAATTTATTTTGATAAAGTCTCACGGAGTTATACAGTAATAATTACTAGGCAATAAACTGTGCTCGAAACGTCATCAGTAAATATTACGCCGTGAGACTTTATCAAAAATAAATTTTACCCACAATGGAATTATACTCTACCGACACAGTGTACAAGTTCTATTCTTATATAGACAGAGAAATTTAACCACATACTATGCATGTAACTATTTAAGTCTTCTAACCCTAACAATAACACTAATCTTTCCTGAACCTTACCCTATCGTGAAAATATGCTTAAACTAACTGTAATCTAACTGCAACCAACCCTAATGTCGCTTTTATTAGGTTAACCTAACCCTAACTTGCTTGTCCTTGGCTTAAACCGTAACTCAGTCTTTCCGAAAAAACCTAAGGTGAAACTTGCTAGAAATCGCATTTAATAGAATAACACTTCGACGAGCATATTTTATTGATGAAGACAACATTATTTGCCAGGTGTCACTAGCTTAATCAGTGAGAGTTTCAAAGTCATCGGTGCGGCCACACTCCATTGATAGCTAGTGGTGCTTAAAGTTTAACTTGGCCATTTGTATAAAGACGATTAATTAGTCATTGGCGTTTGAATTAATGTGGCTAAAAATATCAAGTATCACAGATCAAGGATGTGAATTAATGGACAGCAATCGAGGTGATCATAATAATAATAATAATAATAATAATAATAATAAATCCATTCAAGTGTTTATATAATCTAGGCAACGGTGAGTGTGTAGGGGGGAATGTGCATACTAGTAGGAGTAGAGGGAAAAATAACTATTGTTCTCGGTTTCACAATTTATTACTATTATTATTATTGTTTCAGGCCATACCACGAACTGATATCAGTTAGAGAAGCGTTTAAAAATCACTAAGGAGGAGTACTGGACAAGTTGTTTCTTCGTAGTACACTTGGGATTTATCGAAAGTACGCACCCCGATCACGAGGGTTCGAGGCAAGCATCTTCCGGTTACAAGGCAAGCTGGCTCGTATACCATTCAGCCAGCTACTGGAACCCAATTCAATGGCAAGCTGATGAATTCTAACTTCTACTAAATTGGTGATTTTAGCTCTATCACCAACCAATGTTGTCGGTTGGACATATTCATCTTCACACTTGACGTTTGGATGGACCTCAGTGGTCACGACTTTTCATCACTAGAACTCAAGACAACTTTGTTCTGAATTTATCTTTATTGTTATTACTATTATGACCACCTCGTTCGTGATATCCATTAATTCACATCCCTGAATTCTGATTCTTGACATTTTATTAACCGCCTTAATTCAATTGCCATTGACTAATGTTTCGTCATTATTCAAAAATGTAATTTCTGATGAGGATTCACCGAAAATAGCGTGTTCTATAATAAAATGAATAACTCGGTTTCCGTAGGAAACGACAGTGAAATTTCACCATACCCGAACTGTGTAGAATGAAAATTCCTAATCAGTTTGCAAATTCTAACCTTGAACTACAGGATAAAGTTGCCTGAAGTCCCAGTGAGATATTGTGACCAACGAGGTCCACCAAGGTGAGAGTGGCATTTGCTGACGTCCATAAAATTGACAGAAATTAGAATCGATGGGGCATTCGATTCTGTCCTAGTGTCTGGATAGCCGAAAACCTCACCACCTACCTTATAGCCCTTACAGTCCTGAGACCGACTCCAAGCGGAGTAATGTGTGAATACTGTTAAAGAATCCCCAACTAAGATGAGACAGGTGTCTCTAGCAGTAGCGGTCTGATGGCTTCCAACGGTTCTCTTACTGAAGTCACTTCGTAATCCCTCCCTTCAAGTCAATCAGATCCCTGAAAATCAATACATGAAACCCATCATCAACTTATTAATCGTCTGCACGATTTCACTTCAAATGAATTCCGTTTGACAAGGTATCTGTCCGTCTGTCTACTTTCAACATAGAACTTTGCACCAATGTGCACCAGTTTAAGTCATCACACTCCACTCTTTGTAAAACACAAACCAAGAGAAGAAAGTAGAAGAAATGCATAATAGAGACAGTAATCAAAGGTGTGAGACAAAGGAATACTAATAACGAAGAACAATATAGTTTCATTGGAAATCATAAGTCACAAGGAGTGGATGCGTCTGCACTGTCACTGAGAACAATCACTTTGAGCCATATCACCAATTGTTTCCAGCCGTCATTGGGTTTTACCTCCCCGAGAACCCCACATAGTCAGGAAGTTCACAACCTTCCTAAGTGGCTGGCTGGCTTAAACTAATTGTTGTGGATTTCGTTGACTGATGAGGCCACGTTTTGGTTCGACCTCCGCTAGCTCTTTTCTAGCCTGACCCTATGTCAGCCAGCTAACATTGCCCATTGTCAAGGAAGGCGATGACTAGGAATGCATGCGTAACACATGTCCTAACCATCTCAGGCGATGTAACTTCACAGGCTCGTCGATTGATTTCCTCTCCCTCCTTAACTAACACTCGACGCCTATTGCTCAGCTTATTACACCACTTCAAACAGGAGATAGAGGGTAGGCACCTATGATCAAAGACAACTAATCTTTTCATCTCTTTCCCTCTTAATGGCCAGGTATCGCTCACAGCCATAAAGGAGGACGGAGCGGACTGATGAGCAGTACAACCATCCTTTGGTCGATAGCCAGCCGGATATCACGTCTACTAAGCCAGAGACGGCGTAAACTGGCAAATACGAAACTAGCCCTCTGTATCCGTACTCAGCTGAGATTTCGTCAGAGATCAACCCGTAGAGGTCAGTATAGTCCGTTCCTGTAACATCTCGAAAAATTCACACCTTGTCAAGTTATGAATTCTATAAGAAATAAGTGGTGGTGTGTGACTGTACCAAGGTGAAGTAAGTAAAACTTTGAAATAGAATGAATGTGTCAATCTATTTTATTTAGAGAGAGAGAGAGAGAGAGTGAAAGGCGATGATATTTTGGCCATCTATGTGTCCATATAGATGAAATATACTACTGTGTGAATTTCAGTAGTTTAAATTAAAAAGAAGTTGACAGTTATGGCAATTGCCTCATGTGCACTATCTAGCTAGATCTAATTATAAACGCATAAATGTAATCTGTTTTCAAGAAGGCCGAAGATTTAAGGAGACGCTAGCTGTCATGTTAAGCAGTGTAACACAGTGAGTTATCTACATGAATAGGTGGAGAGGAGGAGGAGGAACAATGAAAACTCTTTCAGAGAAAACCACATATGAGATCAACTGACTGGAAGTATTGATTTTTTTGAAAAACAAAAAAAGGTGAGAGAGAGAGAGAGAGAGATACAAAAACAGTTGGTTACACCTACTTTATTAACTTTTTTGAATTATAACGCCATGGAGTGTTAGTTTCTACTAGGTGTATTGAATAGCCATTTCTTACACCCTAGAAAAAGTCAAAACAAAAAACAAACAAAAAATGAAAGAAAAAACAAATCAGTAAAAACATTAACAGACAAAAATGAATGTTTTTCAGTTATACTACTTACTGTTCTCGGGTTGAGGGGGGTGGCTGAAACAAGGTGGCTGGTCGATCATGGGAGTCTTCTTTGTCTCTCTCTCTCTCTCTCTCTCTCTCTCTCTCTATATATATATATATATATATATATATATATATATATTATTCCCTTGGGTTCTGAATGGAATATAGGGCTTCGGCAACACATTCCCACTTTCTTCTATTCACTGTTATCTTCTTCTTCTAGCCCCACAATTGCCGATAATCTCTCATTTCCTCCGACTCACACGATCTCCTCTGCATGTCGCCCTCGCACTGAAGACCCACTATTCTTCGCTTCTCATTGGGATTCCACTCGCGCAATGACCTGCACAATGCAGACGATGTTATTCGACGGCCTCCTGAAACATATGCCCTATCATCCATAACCATTTTCTCCTACGTATTTTTCTTGGGCGATCGGCTCTTGCTCAGTTTGGTTTGTTCGTCGCGAAAGTTTCTTGTTGGTAATTCTTTCCGGCAGGCCGACCAATGGAGCCAATGATATAGGTAGTTGTTGATGAAAGTCTCCAACAGCAGTCTGTTGCAAGAATATTTTTCGTGACTCACATGTAGAGGGGGAGTTTCTGACCCGTAGAGAAGAACTGACTGACTTCAACATTTGGTGTCGATAATCCGAATCTCGTTTTTTATGCCGCGTGGAGTGCAGAATATATTTCCAGACTAGCTTCATTCACCTTGATGAAGGCATATCTTACTTTCCCGATTCTGGTTGGCTTCGACATCTTCATCTGTTCTACCCACCTGTAGTTGAAACGATGCTTCCTAGATAAGTGAAGCAAGTAACCTCTTGTAAATCTCTCTCGTCGATTGTGTTTGGTGCTGGTTGTTGTTGTTGTTGTTGATGTTTCTGTAGGTTGCTTATCTTAATCATCCCCATCTTCTATAGGTTCAACTGCAGTCGTGTCTTCGCTGCCTGCTCCTTCAGCCAATTTGTTGGTTTCCGCTTGCAAGTCTTTGAGTTTATGTGACATAAATCATCCACATGAGAAATTCAGATCTTCTAGAGTCTCCTTATCAGTCATCCACCGCATTCTTGTCTTCTCACTCCCATGCCACAGTCTGACGCATAATCCAGTCCACCACAATTACTGATATCATCGGTGATAATAGGCAGGTAGCCTTGTCTTACTCCTGTATGTACTTCGAACACCTCTCGCTGAGTTTTCCGTTTGTGGATCACCTGATACATGATATTGTCATATAGCTAGCTGTTGAATGAGGTACGCCGTAGTGTTGAAGTTGTTTCTAAATCACTTCCCGATCAACGCTGTCTGTTGAAGGGATTTTCAAAGTCGATGGGGGTTAAGGAACATGTTTGACTGCCATTCTATCCTTTGTTCGATGACGACGCGTAGAGTTGCAATTTGATCAGCAAATGATTTGACTTTCCTGAATCCAGCCAGCTTCTTCCGCACGGAGTTCTCTATCCAGTGCATCTTTCATTCTTTCCAAGATGATGCGACATAGTATTTTACTTGACATGGAAAAGAGAATTATTCCACACCAGTTCATACACAGGCGGCTTGAGTCGCCCTTCTTTGGCAGCTTGACAAAGCAGCCTGCTGCCTTCCTTGCAGTCAGTTAACATCTTTCCTTCTTTTCAAACCTTTTACCACAGTCTCTGGGTCCGTTTTCAGTGCTTCGGGCGGAGAAGTGAAATTAGGTCTGGTCCTGCTGCTTTCCCAATCGGACTTAAGTAGCTTGATCGCAATGAAGATTTCTACTTTCGTTGGAGGATTGGTATCCACTGGCAGGCAGTTCTCTGCATTCTGTTTGTGTTGGTGGTATTTCTGGATGAGTAGCAGGTGATGGTCGATTCAAGAGTCCTTTAAAGTGTTCAACCCATTGTCTGAATTGTTCCACCTCCTCTGTGATCAGGTGACCTTGACCACCTTTCATTGGTTTCATCATCTCGGTCGATCTCTTCCCGGAGTGACCTGGTTATCTGATCCAATTAATATCTTGATGTCTCTTTTACCTGCGGCTTGCTCTGCTTCATTTGACAGCCAGTGTGTTGCAGAATTTTGTCTTTCCTAGCACTCTTCTTTACTTCTTTATTAAGTGCAGTACATATAAAAGTTAGATTCTCCGTCTGTTGCCCTTCTTTGCATTGGTACATATTCTCTTTCAACATACTCTTCGATTCTATTAGCTTCCAGGTATCCGCTCATAGCCACACGTATATATATATATATATATATATATATATATAACATTCCGAAACACACTCATTGACGACTGGTTCTAAACAACAAGAAGAGTTGCCTTGAGTTCTAGTAAGCTAATGTTATCATCAGCGCGGTTTCATCAAGTCAGGCAAAAGGGGATATTTAGTCGTCGAAGACATTGTCTAGTGGTTGCACTATCTGTCTGTCTGTTTTCGACATAGAACTTTGCACAAATGTGCGGAAGTTCAAGTCGCCACATTCCGTGTAGCACGCGAAGCAAGAGAAGAAAGTACAAGAAAAGCATAATAGAAACAGTGAGCAGAGGTGTGAGACAAAGGAGTAATAAAGAAGAACAAAACAGTTTCATTGAAGATCATAAGTCACAGGGAGTGGATGCATCTGCGCCACTGAGAACGATTTTGAGCCATGTCACCAATTGTTTCCAACCATAGATTTTTACCGTCCCGAGGACCCCAGCCTGGAAGTCTACACCTTTCTACGTGGCTTAGACCAACTGTTGTGGATTTCATTGACTGATGCCAAGTTTTTGTTTGACCGCCGCTAGCTTTTTTCCAGCCTGACCCTATATCCGCTAACATTGCTCGTCGAGGGAGGCGATGGCTTGGCATACGTAACACATGTCCTAACCATCTCAGTCTTTGTAGCTTCACGACTTCGTCGATTGATTTCCCCTGTTTACCTAGAACTCTACGCCTAACCTCCATGTTGCTCACCTTATTATGCCACTTTACACGGGAAATAGAACGCAGGCACCTATGATCAAAGACAGCTAGTCTTTTCATGTCTTCCACTCTCAGTGGCCAGGTCTCACAACCATAAAGGAGGACGGAGCGGACTGATGAGCAGTACACCCGCCCTTTGGTCGATAGTCGAACATCTCGTCTACGCCAGAGTCGGCGTAAACTAACAAATGCGAAACGAGCCCCTTGTATTCGTGCTGAGATTTCGTCAGAGATCAACCCGTTGGGGCTGATGGTACTTCCCAAATAAGTGAAGCGGTCAACGTGCTCTACCACTTCACTTCCTATTTTTAAACTAGGCGTCGATGTAGTCCAGTCCTGTAACATCATCTTGCATTTGGCGGGAGCGAATCGCATGCCAAACATTCGTAGATTGCGGCTCAAGGTGTTTAGAAGACTCTGCATTTCGTCAGCGTCTTCGCCTAGAAGGACTATATCGTCTGCATATTCCAAGTCAACGAGATTATTCCCGGTAGCAAGTCAATCCCTGAGTCGCTGAAGTCACCTAGGGTTAAGTCCATTAACACATCTATGATGAAGTTGAATAGAAAAGGAGATAATGGGCATCCTTGACGGACACCACTGGTCGTCATCAGTTCAGATGACAGCTCGCCGTAAGCCCTCACCTGGCTGTATGAGTACGAGTAGAGTGCCTTAATCAGTGCAATATATTTTCTCGGAATTCCCTTTACAGCCAAGCATCTCCAGAGAACTTCCCGATCGACAGAGTCGAATGCTGCCTTTAGGTCAAGAAATATAATGACTGTTGGACGCCGGTAGGAATGCCTATGTTCTAGAATCTGTCGGAGGGTGAAGATATGATCAATACACCCTCTTCCTGGTCTAAAGCCTGCCTGGCTCTCTCGTGTTTGTGCTTCCCGAGCACCACTCAGTCTACGCATGATTATTGAGCCTAAGACTTTAGATACTATATTAGTCAAGCTAATCCCTCTGTGATTATCACAGGAAGACTTGTCTCCCTTCTTGTATATGGGGATAATCAGTGACTTACACCAACCCGATGGGACTTCTTCTGATTCCCAGACGCTGCCTAGTACCTCAGTTAATCCGGACAGTAAGCTGTCTCCACCGTACTTAAATACCTCTGGAGTCATTCCATCAGGTCCCGCTGCTTTGCCTAGTTTCAGATTGGTGACAGCTTTAGTAACCTCAGTTAGTGACGGAGGACCTGTGTCTATATCCCATTCAGGGAGGTGTTGGATGCTCGGAAGGTTGAGCGTGGCTGTGGGCAAATTAAACTGCTCCTCATAATGCTCTTTCCAACGATCCAGTCGTCTATCCTGGGAGCTAATTATAGTGCCATTTTTTTCCGAGATTGTCTCACTGATGATTTGTCTTCTCCCACCCGTTTCCCTGATGAGTCTAAAGAGTTGCCTGGTGTTGCCTATCCTCAAAGCTTTCTCCATCTCTTTGGCTTTTGTCGCCCACCACTGTTCACGGTCCTTGCGGAGACTTTTCGTAAGTTTCCTCTTGTGCAGCTTTCGCTCCTCATTGAATTCGGAGCTCGCCGGAATAAGTCTTCTAGCATCTATCAGTTCGGATGAGGCGGTGGAGATCCAGTGGTTTTTACTCACCTTTGGGTTTACCTTATTCACAGCTTTTACAGCTGTATCTATGGCTGCCTGGATATTTTTCCAAGCTTCTTCAGGGTGAGCACAGCTGTCGAACACAGATATGTGTTTAGCTAGTTCTTCCTCAAATACGGATTTAGTTTCCTGATCGAGCTGGGGACGTGATGGTTTTACCGCCAGCTGTTTCCTACGTCCGTTCAGTCGTAAGCACACCCGAGCGCGGACCAGTGCATGGTCGGTATCTACGCACGTGTTCCAGAAGGAGCGACAATCTCCTACCGACCCACGCCAACGATAGCTTATTGCTATGTGGTCTATTTGTGTCCAGCGTTGGTTTGATGAAG